TGAACGGTAGCCGGCGCGCGGATGACGTCATACACGCGCAGCTTTGTTTTTAAAAGATAAAAATATTAAAAATATAAACGCGTATGTCTGGGGGACAGTGATTCACCTACATGTTATGAATGCTGGCGTACCATAAAGAATAAATTATGAACAGTTTAGTTTGTGCCTTCAAGTCGTTGTACATAGGAAGACGTTACCTGGATATAACCCAACGGAATATCTTCAGAGGAGCTCCATATGACATAAAACTTATAGAACACGATGTAATAATGTAAAATCAAGGGCCAAATGTAAAAAAAAAAAAACGGCGTTCCCTTTTAAGGCAGAGCTTCTATTATAATAAGCATATGTATGATGTACAGTAGTTATGATGTATTGTAAACAGTGAATGGTCCACTGGGAAGGTTCAGAATCTCAAAGCTAAATCATGAATGACAATCTCAATAACTGATAACTGATCAGAATTCGTAAGGTCGGGGAAAAAAACCAAACAGGTTTTATTTTCAGTCGACCGTCGTGGGCAAATCGCTGAGTGGGCAAATAAGGATTGTTCTTTTTCTTCTTCTTCTTCTTCCTCTCAGATGAAAACACAGAAGCATGGTGGGGGTGCAATGGGTGAAATAGAGTTTTTTCTGTAAAATTGACAGACCGCAGTAGCCACGTTTGCTCGGCCATGTCTTTGTAAAAATTTTTCGTCTTCTTCTCTTCTTAGGGCTTTCAGCACAGAATTGCCAAGGCAGCGCTTTTCACTCTAGTGAGCTTCGTATTCCTCTTTTACTGGTTTAGCTTCTGGATAGACGATTCTGAGTACTGCCATCTTATTGTGGAGCTGAGTCTGATGTGGTTTTTCGATGTACAGTGTGAGCAGGTAGATTGCATCAGAGCGTCATGCTGCACAGACATCGTGAGCTATGAACTCACACTATACGACGAAACACTGCGGTTCCATCATACAGTGTGAGCTGTAGCTGCATACAACGATTGAAAAAATCACAGTGTATGCCGGGCTTTAAGAGAGCATGAATCATGTGGTGGTCTGGTCAAGTACCCTAAACACAGATCTGTGTTGCAGAAAATTAACTCTGAACACAGTGATGGTGGCAGCATCATGTTTTTCATCAGCAAAGACAAAGGTAGTCTGCACTTTATAGGGAGGATGGATGGTGCCAAAAATATCTGGCAATACTAGGAGAAAACCTGTTAGAATAAACTATGAGTCAGAACTTCCTCCTCCAGCTGAACAGTAACCTTAGACAGAAAGTTTAAGTTAACAAACAATTCTTCAGATCAGCGCTTTCCTGAACTATTCTGCATCTGGCCTCTAATATTCAGTGGACGTCTCCATAAACCCATCTAGCAGTTAATGAAAGAATAGAATAGATTATTTATTGTCATTACACAGTCACAAGTACAGAGCAACAAAATGACCCCTCTGCATTTAATCCATCCCCTCGGGGAGCACTGGGCTGCCATTGTGCAGCGGCCGAGTAGCAGTGTGGGGTTAAGGGTCTTGCTCAGGGACCAAGAGTATCGGTCTGTGGGAGTGGGGCTCAAACTCAGAACCTCAGGATTCCAAGTGCAATGCCTTAACCACATGTCACATCTCCGCTTATACTTAAAAAGTATTAATACAATCTAGTTAGTCACTAAATTTAATCTTCCTGCATGTAGCCACATGTTCTTTACCGTGGTTATTAAAACATGACTGTTATCTTAAACTCCCCCTAGGTATGAGCGTTGGTGTGTGCATAGTTCTCCGTCTACTGTGTCTTTTTTTTCCCGGGTATACCAGGCATCTTCCCCAATCATTGTCCCCCGACCCTTTCAAGTCAGTCATCTCATTTTCTCCTCTTTAAGCTATTTTCCAAAGATGAACGGCCAAACATTTCAGTTCAAAGAGTTACAAAACTACTAGGGCAATTTGTGGCTCTGTTTGCAGTAAGAAGACACTTTTTGTCTGAGTTTTAAACCATCTATTGTTTTAGAGTTTCCCTTTGCAGCTACGTACTGCTTCAGAATATGCCTTCCAATGGTTGTCGGATCAAATTAACTTTATGAAAATAACCATTGAGAGGGTATTTAACAATCCTTAATTCAGAACTAAATGTTTGATTGGGTCCAATGTCATATTCTAATCTTAAACTGTTGTCTTTGTAAGCCTTTAGCATTCGATGTGGAAGCATTTAGCCATAACTGTATGCGTTTCTTTCTCCCTGCATGATAATGGCGTAGTTAAACCACCAAAACACTCACCAGCCAAGCATTTCCTGCTGCTGCTCGGCATCTCGCATTCCAGTCCGGCCGGGCTCGACCAACCGGAGCGTCACATTTCAGCAATTATATTAAAAGTTCATCAGGGCAGGGCGGTTGGGAATGGCCCAGGGTAAATGGGCTGGAAACACTCATTTGCAGACACTGCTGATTATATAGATGTTGCTGGATAATTGTTGAGCTGCTGATAAGTTTTCCCTCTTTCTTCCCCAATTGGGTCATAATTGGCTCCACCACACAGAGCTACCCTCGAACACGTTTCCTGTTTTTGTAGCGCAACAACTTTCATGACCGTTTGGAAAGTAGAACTTATTTTACTGAGGAGATTTGTAGGAAAACATAGATTGGCTTTAAGATTTGAACCCAGAATTAAATCAGCTCCATACCAAGAAAGATGGAGTGTTAAATAGGAGCCAGCGTGTGGTAGATCCAGTAGCTGAGCTGTTTGGCCTCTAAGACTGGAGGCAACCTTTCTCAGAACCTGTTGCTTTGGCAGGCATGGGGAGGTTTTTCCACGAAGAGACATAAATCGTCAATGGAAGCAACTCTGCGCTTTACGGTGTTATTAAGAGGCGGCATGAGACAGAGGGCACATAGTGAGCTAAATTAAAACTGGGAATCTGGTGCACTTGGATGTGGCTCACCTCTGCTGAGACCAAACCATGTGTAGAGATTTAGTGGCTTTGCTAAATTTTACGTCCTGCTGGAGCTTTTAGTGTGAGATGCAGCTTCAGAAGTTTTTTTCTGCACTCGGGCTGTTTCTGTGAATTATTTACTGGACCGCCTTCTTTCAGTTGGCAGAGTTTGTGTGTTGCTGAGCTGCTTCAGGTGATGGTATGCGACATCAACAAATCTGTTCCCTGCTCAGCTTTTCTCTGCCTTTCTTTGTTTTGTCCAGCTTGGATGTATTGGTGCATTTGTCATCTTTTGTCTCTTCCTCTGCAGGCCCGAGCCCTCAGGAGACTCTGCTGCATTTCTCAGCACGCCGCGGACTCTCTCGGGTGACACGCTTTCTGCTGCGGCAACCAGGAGCCAGGGAAGCCCTTCAGCTGGTCAATAAAGAGGGACACACCCCAGCTGCTCTAGCAACGCAGCGTGGACATGAACATCTCCATGAACTCCTGTCCAAGTGAGTGATGTTTAGGCATGGACTGCTGTTCAAGTGTTATAACCTCTGGTACATCTACTGTTTTTACAAGAAGGAAAGCATGATGTTATTCATCTTTCTTTAAATATGAATTAAATTGTTCAAGCTGTTAACATTTGTTTAAATAGATTTTTGCTAAATCCTTTAAAATCTTAAATGTCAAAATGCTCTGAAGTTATTTGATTCATATTCTTGCTTTCATCACTGCTTTAGTTTCAAGCCTAAGACTGTCTACGTTTAGTACTCCTGGAATATTTCAAAACCAAAATGTTTCTTTATTCTGAAGGCATTTATGTCCCCCCCCGCATCCCACTGGTTGCAATACATAAAGAGAGGCTCCTACTATGCATAGGATGAGCAGGATTCCCCATCCTTTGGGGGGTTGGACTGCATTTTTGTCCTCATGTAAATAAAAAAACATAATAATGTCCGGGATTTGAATGGTGCAGATTATGAAAAAGTCAAACAAAACATAAGTAACAGGGTTTTTTTAATAGTAAAGAACAGCATCCTACTTTATGGCCAGTATGTGCACCATGTGACTTTTGAAATTTAGGTTAATAAAGTATTTCTGAATTAAACTGAATTGAATTGGAAACTGAGGTAAAGGTGCAGATATATGACTAGATATATGTAATAGACTCTGTGTCTATAGAAAATAAAACATGGCCATAACAAGGACTGCAGAACGGTTTATAACTGATACTTTTTGTGAAGTTTACCACAGTTATTTTTAAATTTCCTAAAGAGATGACCCTGATCAGCCTCTCGTGTCCCGCATTGACCACCCGTAGCATCCTTCTGGTTCTCCTTTTGTTTTTATTATAAGCTCAGAGGATGGCTATTTTGCTTTATCTGTTTCCTGTAACCCTAAGCTTCAAACTTGGTAAAGCATACTGTTTGTTAAAACGGTGTACTTTGGTCTGACCTGCTTGCTATGTACACACTACATGTTACCAAACATGGTGCCCATGGCTAGTTTATGTTGTGATTCAGCATTTTTAGTGTTTTCCCCAAAAGTGGATGCATTTTTCTTCGCCTTAGTGTCTCTCTTCCTGTCTGTCTCCTTCACATTGCTGGCAGACCTTGCGTCTGTTTTGGTACATAACCACAGTTATAGAGAAATCATGTGCAATCTGACCAGCCCCAAGCATTTAACTGATACGATCCAAGTTTTTGTCAGATCAGACATTAAGTGAGGGAAAGGATAATAAAGGCTTTCTTGAAGCCAGCTGACCTGCAGTGTGGAGCCAAGGTGGGAGACATGGAGACATCTCTATTAGTATGAGCTCCATACTGGCAAGAAATCTCTGGACGTTCATTGAAATACATTAAAATAGTAGAACTACAGTACGATGGAAAACTTTAGTTGTTGTTTCATGGAGGTAGAAGAAAAAAAAAATCAATGTAGCATTATGTAGTAACTTAGCAATGTTTTTAACATAACATTCATACTTTTAGAGGAGTTCACATAAACATACCATGTGTACCAGACATGTACATCAGTGCTTTCCAACCTATTTTAGACTTGTTCCCCTTTTTGTCTTACCATGACTTCCCCTCTCAGTCAAAAGTATTGCAGATTGTCTAAAAGTGGAATATACATTAACTAAAATGAAGACTATTTCACTTAATCTTTTAATTTGAGGATTTAATCTTTAATTTTTTATGTTTTCCATCAAGATAACATAAATATGTTGCCTGGAAGTTGGTAAGGAGTCAAAATAAATCAAAAATAGAATCCTATTATAAACCTGTATTTATAAATCTGCAGCTCCTCTGAGTAACTCCCTTATAATCACATTTAAACTTGATGAATTGGAACAAAATACAGAACAAAAATTATAGTCAGACTGACTTAATTCTACTTTGTCTTCATGAAAACACCTGAGCTGCTTTGATGAGCTCAAATAGCTCAGTGTGTAAAACAGCAGATCCTAGGCTGTTCTCTACTTCCAGCCTGTTCCTCCGTTTGGTTTGGATGTAAGTCGCAGCTAAAGTTGAACTCAAAAACATAACAATAAACGGCCTTTTTGGTCGATAAAAGCGTGTTAAATTTTTCAGTTGGGTCCTCAGAAAGCCAAAAAAGATCCCAGCCCTTTTCTAATTTACTACCTAAGAAATCAAATCTTTTCATGTAACCCTTGCAATGCACGGTTTACACGGACCACTAGGGGCACGCATAACCCCAGCTGGGAAACACTCATGTACATCACTGCTACAGATATTATATTATAATATTGCAGTTGTGAGTCAAATATTGCAGCATTGAGCTAATAATACTACTGAATGTGACACTTAGGTTTAAAAAAGTTTTCCCTCTGCAGTGCTGAATGTATGCTCTGAGTTAAGCCGAGGGATAGCTAACTGTGTGGTTAGCCTTCTTAATAATAATCCTCCCCAAGAGCACTGACATTTAATCCCCAGATGGTCAATTGATTTAAAAAAATATATGCATTCTTTTTTCTTTTTATTATTTACATTTTTATCTCATAGAAAAGCAAGAAAAATACTTAGCTATGACACAGCTGTTTCCCATAATTTGTATACCTTAAGCCGGGCATACGCTGTGCGATTTTCTTTCAGTCGTTGCACACAGCTACAGCGTACAGAGTTCACAGCTCCCCATGTATGTTCTCACACTCTGCAGCACGACGCTCTGATGTGATCTGCATGTCTAAAAACCAGATTGGACTCAGCTCCACAGTGAGATGGCGCTACTCGGACTCATCTATCCAGAAGCCAAATCAGTAGAAGAGGAACTATAGTGAAACATGCTGCTGTGGCAATTTGTGCAATTTTGTGCTGAAAGCCCTAAAAAGAAAATGCGATGACGTATTTGGACAAAGACATGGCTAACAGAAAGAACATGCTTCTATGTTTTTATCTGAGAAGAAGAAGAAGAATCCTTGTTTTCCCACTGAGCGATTTGCCTTGCAAAAACCCAAAATGTTCGATTTTCTGCCGACCTTACAATTCCTGATCAGGAGGTGGTCGTGAGGGGCTGATCGCCCCTCGTTACCCCCTGTACACTACAGGACGCACGATCAGGCTGAAAGTCGGGCTGATTGAAAAATTTTACGCAGAACTGGAAAGTCGCCCCAAAAAGGGCAGAAAATCTCACAATGTATGTCCGGCATTAAAGGAGTAACAGGTTTTGATGTCCCAGAAAATTCTCTAAATTAATTCAGATTCAAACCTGTTTTGCATGTTACATTTTTTTTTTGTTTTTTTGGAAAATGCTACCTTATATAGTAATATTGCAACAAAGAAACATTTTCTTTTACTTTCCTTTTTGGTCCAAACCTTCCTCACCCTGTTATAGCTGAAGGTAATGGTCATTTAGCGGCTTCCATATCTTTGCAATTCTGGGATATTTTGTACCAACTATCGGTTCATTCCCACCTTAGTTCCGATAAACCCTAATTATATAAAAAAAAACAAAGCGCTATGGTGAAATGATGGCAAAGGAGCGAATCTCTTTTTAAACACTTGCGAGAAGTCAGATAATTTGCTTCCTCTATCCATTGTTGCCATGATGGTAGTTTTCCTCCTAGAATGATAGAAGCATTCAAAGAACATGGACAATGAGCTCCAACTGCTCAGCCCTTCCATACCAAGGCTGAATTCAGGGTAGTGCCATTCCCATCACAGTATTGGGGAATTGATTTGGGAACTGTACCCATCTCCTTTTTAAGTTACTCGTTATTAACCACTAGGGGTGTAAATATTAATCGTTTTGTATCGATGCATCGATCAAACAGCCGATGATCCGATGCATCGATACGTCCGCAAGATAATCGATTCATGTTTTTTTTTTCCTCCGGTCTATTTTTATCCATT